TCCATTACAATACTACAGTACATTGGTACAGTGATGTACTGAAACATATATTTACTTACAGTATACTGTGGTACAGTATATAGTATGTCATTCAGTAATTGCTGTCAACATTTACATACTGGACTATAATGTCAAAAAAAGGCAATTACCTGTTCTCTTCTCTAAATCTTCGGATTATGGTGGACACAGTGAATCTACTGATGTTTGGTTGTACCCTTTGTCCAGCCTCCCTCATGCTCATACCATGGACAAGAACATGGTCAATCACAGTAGCTCTGATTTCATCAGATATTACTGTTCTTTGTCTTCGCTGACCACCTCGACCACCTCGACCTCCTCTCACACAAACTCTTCCTCTCAGATTTCTATCCATTGTAGGGCCTCACAAACCAGTGCTCTCTGAACTGGCTTACTGTATATGTTCCCTCACATCATTAGCCACAAGTGTGATCAATTTTGAGTTGTTGTGTTCAAGTGGTGACACCTGTGCTCTAATTGTGTTTTACTTTTGTCACCTGTGCTCACCATTATGCAGCACGGGTGCATCACAATGAAAATGTGTTGGCAAGTTATGTCTAAACAGGTGAAAAGTGCTTATGGTTTTGCCAAAAGAGTGATTGATTCAATCAGTGGGTTCAGGCAACTGAGCATTTGGTTCAGACAATAGGGTTTAGTGTTTTAGCAATTGAGAAAAACTGTAATGTCATTTGACCCAATAATATGGCCATAGATGAGCAAATTAACCCTGATATGTATCACATTTTAAAACAGTTTAGATGTAATTGTACAATTATTTTGTATGCTCTCAGATATGGTTTTGCATTTTTTAAAAATAAGACATTGAATAGTATCGTTTTGGTATTGAGTATCGTTTCGGTACCAAGTATAGAGAGAGAGAGAGAGAGAGAGAGAGAGAGAGAGAGAGAGAGAGAGAGAGAGAGAGAGAGAGAGAGAGAGAGGACGAGAGATAGAGAGAGAGAGAGAGAGAGAGTACTCTCTGTCGAGCGCTCTCTCTCTTATCTCTCTTTCAGTCTCATCTATAGTCTCAGCGGATAGCTCTGCGCTCTCTTCTCCTCTCATCTCTCTCTCCTGCGCTCCCTCGCTCTAGAGCGATAGAGGAAGAGAAGAAGACGAGAGAGAGAGACTTCAGAAAGTATTCACACCCCTTGACTTTTTCCACATTTTGTTGTGTTACAGCCTGAATTTAAAATGGATTAAATGTAGATGTATGTGTCACTGGCCTACTCACGTTACCTCATAATGTCAAAGTGGAATTATGTTTAAAATAATTTTTATACAACAAAGAATATATATATGAAAAGCTGAAATGTATTGAGTCAGTAAGTATTCAACCCCTTTGTTATGGCAAGCCTAAATCAGTTCCGGCGTAAGAAGTTGCTTAACAAATAGTCACATAAGTTGCATGGACTCACTCTGTGTGCAATTAATAATAGTTTTTAACATTATTTTTGAATTACCACATAATCGCTGCACCCCACACATACTATTATCTGTAAGATCCCTCAGTCAAGTATAGATTCAACCACAAAAGCATCGTAGCACTAAGATCATCTTTCGTCCATTTGGTTTCAATGGAATTAAGATGATCTTAGTGCTACGGCGCCTTTGGGAAACCCAGCCCAGGGAGGTTTTCCAATGTCTGCCAAAGAAGGGCACCTATTGGTAGATGGGTAAAAAAAAGAAAAAAGCAGACATTGAATATCCCTTTGAGCATGGTGAAGTTATTAATTAGACTTTAGATGGTGTATCAATACACCCAGTCACTAAAAAAAGATACAGGCGTCCTTCCTTCCCAGGGATTTCATTTGCTATCTGTGGGTGTGCCCCGACCTCCAGGGGGCCCCGAAGAGCTCGTGGGGCCCCCCGCTCTGCGGGGGCTGTTGGGGTGTGTGGTATGCCAGTGATCGTAACACTGGCTAGGACAAAATAATATCACACAAACATTCAACTAATAAAGAAAATGTGTTAAATGTTTGTTTGATATAATTATGTCCTGGCCAGTGATATGACAATTGAGATTGAAGGGAATTATTCATGTTAATTGAATAAATAAATACCGGTTCAGGTGCCTTTTGGATTAGACCTACTGTATAGTTCTACATGTCACTAAGATCTATTGGTTGTCTGAAGTCTCCATATTAAAATACAGGCAATATAGCCTACTCTGTTCTATATTATTTATTTATTGAGCACACAAAGCAAAGTAACAAAGTCACACACTTTATTTTGTACAAATGAACCAAAAGCAGAATTTCATGCAATAAAAGTGACACAATCCACGTAAGTCTTTTTTTAACAAGTTAAATCTGTTACAAATTCCCCCAAAACACAATTTCACACAATAAAAAGTCACATTTCATGCAAGTTTTTTTTAAACAAGTTCAAATTAATAATATTTTCAATTCCACTTTTGTTTTCAAACATAGAACATGTCAGAATGAACTTTATAGCCATTGAATTATACCGTGCATTATAGGGAACTAATACATGTTCTAGAATTCCCATCTAGCCAATCAGAATCATGTATTCAACAATGCCATGGTATAAATGGTACTGAGTGTACAAAGCATTAAGAACACCTGCTCTTTCCATGACATAGACTGACCAGGTGAATCCAGGTGAAAGCTATGATCCCTTATTGATGTCACTTGTTAAATCCACTTCAATCAGTGTAGATGAAGGGGAGGAGACAGGTTAAATAATGATTTTCAAGCCTTGAGACAACTGAGACATGGATTATGTATGTGTGCCATTCAGAGCGTGAATGGGCAAGACAAAATATGTTATGTGCTTTTTAATGGGGTATGGTAGTAGGTGCCAAGCGCACCGGTTTGAATGTGTCAAGAACTGAAACGCTGATGGGTTTTTAATGCTCAACAGTTTCCAGTGTGTATCAACAATGGTCCACCACCCAAAGGACATCCAGCCAACTTGACACAAAATGTGGAAGCATTGGAGTCAACATGGGCCAGCATCATTGTGGAACACTTTTGACACCTTGTAGAGTCCATGCCCCGACAAATTGAGGCTGTTCTGAGGGTAAATGGGGGTTCAACTCAATATTAGGAATGTGTTCCTAATGCTTTGTAAACTCAATTGACAGCAAGGAAATGCATGGTTATATTCATATTTACTGAACAGATTATATGTGTTGAAGTGAAACAGTCCATGGAAGAAAGATGAAGATGAAAAACCAAAGAAATATCACGTCTGAGGGTAAGAAAACATGTTCAAAGGTACATAACCTGTTTGCATCTCAGATATAGATGGAAATCACAATGCAGAAACATGAACCAAAAAACGGTAAAAATGTAATACTAAATAAAAACATATATAAATAGATAATTGCTTAATAGAATGACATTTGTAAAAGAGAAAGGGTAATTATCACATTAAAGCCTACTCAATGGACCAGTTTCACAGACCCAGTCTCCCGAGTGGCGCAGTGGTCTAAGGCACTGCCATCGCATGCAGCCACCCCCCCCCGGAGCCCATGGGCGGGCACAATTCCAAAAGGAGGAAAAAATGCCAGAAAGAAAATTACCCTTGTAACATGGGTTTTTTTAAGAGGGTTTGGGTTGATTCCCGGTGGGGTTAAAAAAATGTATGACTATTTTAAATTGCTCTGGGTAAGGCGTTTCTAATTGTCATTTTAATGTTTGCATCTAGATGTTATTTTATCACATATAGTGGTCCAAAACTGGAAAACCCAAAAGAATTTTTAAAAATGTCAATTATTAGTGTTTTTATGGGTTATTTGTAAGTAGAAGGTTTATTTAAAATTTGAATTTTTAATTTTTGGAATAGGGTTTTATATTTTTTGGCATTGTTGTAGCTGTATCTCAAATGGTTTAAAAACGCATGGTAAAACCTTTTTTTTGCCCCAACCCCCCCCCAAAAAAGGGCCCCAAAAAAAAAGGGGGGGCCCCTGGGTTTTTCCCCCCGGGGGCCCCCCCCCCCCGGGGGGCCCCCCCCCCCCCCCCCCCCCCCCTTCCCCCAACCCCCCCTTTTCCCAAAAAGGGGGAAAACCCCCCCCCACCCCCCCCCCCCCCCCCCCCCCCCCCATGGCCCCCCCCCAAAACCCCCTCGTAAAACCCCGGGACCCCCTTTTTGGGGCCCCACCCCCCCCCAAAAAAAATTTCCCAAATTTGGGCTTAAAACCGCCCAAAAGCTTTTTGGTTTGGTATAAATCACATTTAAAGCCCCCGGCAAAAGACACCCCCCCCCCCCCAAAAAAAAAGGGGTAAATTTTTGGGGGGGAAATTTGGTCATTTTTTAAAAGGGGGCCCCTTTTCTTTGGGGGAAAAAAAAAAAAAGTATTATAACTTAAAAGGGCCCCATGAGCGTTTTTAAATTTAAATACGGCATTAAGTTGTAATAAATTTCCCAATTTAGAACCTGGGTTCCCAAAAAAACAACAAACAAAAAAATTTTAAAAAAAAAATTTTTGGAAACTTATAAAAAAAATTGACAATCAACCCCCTTTTAAAATTTTTGAAAAAAAGAAGGGGAATTACCAAAAACCCCCAAGGCCCAGTTTTCAAAAACCCAAAAATCCCAATTTTTTTTCCTAAATTTTTCCAACAACCAAAAAATTGAAACAAAAATTCAAACTGCTCCCAACTTAAATTACACCTTTTTTGGGCTTGAAGGGGGCCAAATTCCCAAAAACCCCTCAGTTTTGGGGGCACCAAAAAAATCACTGCCGTCTTTGAAAACAGATGACTGTCCCCGGGTTCAGGGGTTCCAAAAATGTAGGAGGAAAACATTAGAAAATTTATTTTGAAGATATAGGAAGTATTCTTTTGATTAAAGACTTTAAAGGGAAGATCCACAGGCAAAAAAGGAAGTAGAGAACCCCTGCAGGATCCGGTTTGGGACCCCACTGCCGTGAGGGGGGGGGAGGGGGGAAGGTGCTGCCGCCCTTCATTCTGTCTTTTTGGTCTCGCGGGCACACTTGCCCCAGCTCGACCCCACCATCACACACAGACAAAAAACATGTAGATTATTTTGGAATAGAAAAACACCAGGTAAGTGTAATATAGTCCATCTGTAAAACCAGAAACAGTGTCGTTCGTGTAAGTGTTGTTATCGTTTCCCTCGATGAGATCATAAAATATATTAACAGCCAAGTCAAACAGAAAGAAAACTCTGTCGACAAACAGGCCCCAGTAAATTATGATTTTGATGTTCCTCTTCACCAAGATAAAGAGAGCTCGCTGGGCTGGAACGATCTGGGTGTAGTAGAAAAAATTCAGCCAAACAGAGGTTGACATGCTGGTAAATGCAGTGAACAACACGAACGTATCAACATACAGGATCCCTTTGCTGTTAGTGAGTAGCCACATGCATTCCGACATGATAAGAGAGACCAGGAAAATTGTGGTGCAGCAAACCAAGAATCCCAGGAGTAACTTCACAGGCTGTTTGAGTCCCCTCTCCGCCTCGCAGTGGACAGAAGAGGCAAAAAGCAAAAAACAAGTTGGCTAATATGTTGAGAATAGCCAGAGGTCCGTTGACTATGATATAAGCCAATTCATCCATCTCGATATCGGTGAACAACATTTCTGAAAATCCAGAGGTTTATTGTATGTTTGCAGGGAGTTACTCTGGGTGCTCAAATGATGGAAACAAAACGCTGTCAATATCTGAGGGTCTGAGATGTCTGAGGCACCAACAATGAAAAATTATTCAAATACAAAATATTTACATCGTAAATATGTAAATTATTGGTCAGCAACCGAAACCAAAAAGGAAGGAATATTTTAATGTAGCATTGCATAAGCTTCCTGTATAGTTAAAAACAAGCAACATTGCATTTTTTTGTGGTATAGATGGTCTTTTTTTATATAGACCTGTGGACAGGAATAATCTGGGTGGTAGTGTGAAGAAATCATCCACATGGAAGATGAATGTAGATACAATTCTCAGAATTCTGGTGATTCCCAATCAAATCTCCTTTCTCCTGAAGTGTACTCTTTCACCACTTCCCACAAATCTAAAAGTATTGGATTGGTGGAGGCATGAGCCAGTGGGAGTTTCCACCCTATTTCTTATACCAGTCATTTCCTTTCAAATCAGTGAAGGGAAGTGAAGTGAACAAGTGCACACTTTGGGAGGAAATAGCAGATAATTGGGACATAGCCCATATCACTATGAGATGAACAACACATAAAGTCTGTATTCATAAACCGTCTCCGAGTAGGATTGCTGATCTAGGATCAGGTCCCCACTGCCCATATAATCGTATTCATTATAATCTAAAAGCACTCCTATTCTGAGACGCTTTATGAATCAACAGACAGGCAGTTTTACAGAACTTATTTTATTTATTATTAAATACACGTCTGACTAAAATGCCAGAGGTAAGAGACCATTCATATTAGAAGGAAGACAACAAATATATAAAAGGAAACTCCCTCTAAAAATAGCAGGCTTAATTACAAATATAGTATATCTTTATGCAAAAAATCAACGACATCTGTAACTTGACATGGTTAATGAATTTATTCATCCAAGATTCTCAAACACACTTATACACACACACGCGCACCCTTTTGTGGTCCAAACTCAGATGTTTCTCCTTATAGAATAGGGTGGGGTATGAGTGCCTCTTACAATTCTTCATACATTTCTAACAGTTGAAATATTTAATAAATTACTCAAATTGTTCTATTGTTCAGACCAACAGCCCGCAACAGACATATGGAATCATGTAGTAACCAAAAAAGTGTTAAATAAATCAAAATAAAATGTTTAATTGAGATTCTTCAAATAACCACCCTTTGTCTTGATGACAGCTTTGCACACTCTTGGCATTCTCTCAACCAGCTTCATGAGGTAGTCACCTGGAATGCATTTCAATTAACAGGCCTTCTTAAAAGTTAATTAATGCGTTTGAGCCAATCAGTTGTGTTGTGACAAGGTAGGGGGGTATACAGATGATCACCCTATTTGGTAAAAGTCCATATTATGGCAAGAACAGCTCAAATAAGCAAAGAGAAACAACAGTCCATCATTACTTTAAGATATGAAGGTCAGTCAATATGGAAAATGTCAAGAACTTTGAAGGTTTCTTCTTCAAGTGCAGTCGCAAAACCCATCAAGCGCTATGATGAAACTGGCTCTCATGAGGACCGCCCACAGAAATGGAAGATCCAGAGTTACCTCTGCTGCAGAGGATAAGTTCATTAGAGTTACCGGCCTCAGAAATTGCAGCCCAAATAAATGCTTCACAGAGTTCAAGTCACAGACACATCTCACATCAACTGTTCAGAGGGGACTGTGGGAATCAGGCCTTCATGGTCGAATTGCTGCAAAGAAACCACTACTAAAGGACACCAATAAGAAGAAGAGACCTGCTTGGGCCAAGAAACACGAGCAATGGACATTAGACCGGTGGAAATTTGTCCTTTGGTCTGGAGTCCAAATTTGAGATTTTTGGCTCCAACTGCCATGTCTTTGTGAGACGCAGTGTGGGTGAACGGATTATCTCCGTATGTGTATTTCTCACCGTAAAGCATGGAGGAGGAGGAGTTATTGTGTGGGGCTGCTTTGCTGGTGACACTCTCTGTGATTTATTTAGAATTCAAGGCACACTTAACCAGCATGGCTACCACAGCATTCTACAGCGATACACCATCCCATCTGGTTTGCGCTTAGTGGGACTATCATTTGTTTTTCAACAGGACAATGACCCAACACACCTCCAGGCTGTGTAAGGGCTATTTTACCATGAAGGAGAGTGACGGAGTGCTGCATCAGATACCTGGTCTCCACAATCCCCCGACCTCAACCCAATTGTTTTGGATGAATCGGACTGCAGAGTGAAGGAAAAGCAGCCAACAAGTGCTCAGCATATGTGGGAACTCCTTCAAGACTGTTGGAAAAGCATTACAGGTGAAGCTGGTTCAGAGAATGCCAAGAGTGTGCAAAGCTATCATTAAGGCAAACAGTGGCTATTTGAAGAATATCAAATATAAAATATATTTAGATTTTTGGTTACTACATGATTCCATATGTGTTATTTCATAGTTGTTATTCTGCCCTGGAATTGCGTTCCCGTGCAAAACTAGACAGATAGCTAACAACTGAGTCTTCAATAAAACTTCCAAGGCGTGACTTTTCTTGAACGAATGTATTGAAAACGTTTATGTTGTGAAACTGCAAATACAGAAAATAATATACTTTAGTATTCAATTCACATTGACATACTGTAGCTGTACATTATACATTTCAAGTTGAAGTTGCATAAATACAAAGCAAGTGCCAAGTTACCATGTATCTGGCATGACGACAAACCAAATAGATAATTACTCTATGAGTAACAACTAGCCAACTCCTTTCATTACTCTAATAATGTACAAACACCTCTGTACAATAACAAAGCATATTACACTAGAAACAGTAACAAACTATAGTATGTTTTACACTTCTTTTACATGACGCACGAGCAAACTAATACAGCTAACGGCCATCCATGAAAGTCAATGCAATTTGCGTGAGTAAATGTAACCAACTAACATTGATAAGTAAGCAATTCTGTCAATAACAATATTATCATCACTTGCAATATGCTTGAATTGAACTTACAAACAATATTTTCCGAGGCTGAAGCGTAACAAGAAATAGTTGCACTGAAAGAACTGTACAGTAACGTTGTTTCTAGCTGCTTGTCTGCGTGCGTAATGACAACTTTAACTTCCGGGTTTTTGTACATAATTCTAAGTACCAGAAAGCTCCACTAGGGGGCGCTAAACACCATGGAACACAATGAAAGTCACTCTTAATCACTATAATAAAATAATCTGTTACCTTCTAACAAGATGGCAGCACACTCCCCGCCTGGTATAATGAATTGTGCCACTATTAAATAAAATATTTTGCCTCTAGGATGCTTCAGAAAGAAGAACAACAATCTCTGAGATTGGTCTCAGAAACACCTTAGCAATCCCTTGCTTGACAACCTTTAGTTCTACTTTCCTGACCTTTTCGTCAGTACTGGGGAAAGGTTTTGACCACAAGTCCGACTGGCCCAGTCATTTCTGGTGTGTCTGACTGTCTTTCAATAAGACAACATCTCCCACTTTCACATTTGGCTTTTCTGCTGTCCATTTTTCTGCGTCTCTGCAGTGTTGTCAGGTACTCCTGTCTCCACCTTTTCCAAAAAGTGTCAGCGAGACACTGGACTGCTTCCACTGTTTTCCATGAAGATCGTTCATGTGGAAATATCCAGAAGGGGCTGAGGTAGCGTTGGTCTTTTGTGTCAGTAACATTGAGGGTGTAAGACTGGCAGGCATGTCAGGATCGGTTGACACTGACACTAGGGGTCTCGCATTGATTATTGCCATAACTTCAGACATAAGAGTGCTCAAGACCTCATGTGTGAGACGAGTGGAGCCCGTCTGAAAACAGCATAGCATCAAGGATACGTCTGGCAACCCCCAATGAGTCTCTCCCAAGAACCACCCATATGAGACGAGTGTGGGGGATTAAATATCCAAGTACATCCCTTGTCTGAGAGGTATTTAGTCAACTCTGAGTCATTTGTGTCGATTCCCAGTTCCCTGCAGGCACCTATAAAGTTTGTACCTCGATCAGAGCGTAGCACTTTTGCTGGACCACGGATAGAGAAAAAACGCCTCAGCGCGTTGATGAAGCTGGATGTGGACATGGATTCGATGAGCTCAATATGGACTGCTCTAGTAGACATACATGTAAAGAGTACCGCCCAGCGCTTGGAGTCTGCACTACCACCTCTATTGCGACGAGTTATGACATTCCATGGTCCAAACACATCAAGTCCAACACTGGTGAATGGTGGCTCTGATGTGAGTCTGTCTGTAGGTAAGTCCGCCATCTTTTGGTCAACTGACTTTCCTCTAACCTTACGGCAGGTGACACACTTGTGGATGATACCAGAGACCAGATGTTTGCTCCCAATAATCCAGAAGCCTGCTGCTCGAATAGCTCCATCTGAAAAATGACGGCCCTGGTGAGCCACTTGCTCGTGATAATGTCTTACCAGCAGAGTGGCGACATGATGCGTCCGTGGGATGATGAGAGGATGTTTTTCGTCTTGTGACAGGTCGGCAGAGGATAATCGGCCTCCCACCCTCAGCAACCCATCCTCATCAATCACTGGGTTCAGCCTTTTGAGTGTACTTTGTTTTGGTAACTCTTTTCCTTTCTCAAGGCATTTGAATTCCTCTTTGAAGGCTTCATGTTGCACACAGTGAATGATTGCTGTTTTGGCTTGTGACAACTCACTTGTACTGCATGGTTTTTTACACTGATGCCAGCCTCTGCAGTTGTTGTCGTCCGCACTTTTGTGAAAGGATCTGGCAACATGAATGAGTCGTGCTGTGGCTCGATTGAGAGCTTTCCAGTTCGAGAACCTCTCAAAGCGATGAGAGCCGAATTGAGCTCCAGAAACCTTAGTGACGAAGGCAGTGACGTCTGGCCGAATCTCTGCGTCTGCGTCAGGCTCTACAAGGTCAAAATTGATGGTCCCAGACTCACTTGAGTTTGCTTGAGCCAGAAAAGGGGGACCTGAGAACCAACTG